GCAGTAGAAATGTGTTTCTGAGCCTAGAATTGACCTTGAGCCTTATTGAAGCCATACCTCCTGACCAGTGGTGGGATTCAAATATGTGAGCAACCGGTTCTCTGTGTGGATGCCGCTTCCGGAAGTCCATTCTTGGCTTGGGCAACAAAAAATTAGCTACCGGTTTTGCCAAAGTGGTGCGAACCGGCTGAATCCCACTACTGCTCCTGATCTTCCCAGATTTATATGCAATTGTATTTTTTTTAAAAGTAATTAAAGCAACTTTTATGAAATGTAAGGGGCTAAGTATTCTTTAACTCTCTTCCTCAGAAATCTAGCACATTTGAAGAATAATTAAAGTATCTTAATATTGATTGGCAGGTTTTCTCTGTGCACTTTGTTTCTGTTGTCCAGATACAAACCTCCGTGTAGAGTCAGAAGCAATACAGCCCAGCCAAGCCTATATGCCTCTGGGTCCCAAGTATCTCCCACTGTTCTACTATAATATCTCTTTATGAAGGAGGCTAGCAGGGAACAATGCACGGATTTTTATTTCATTGTATAAAAGCAGAAATCAAAGTTTCTTTTTAGCAATCCCACTTACTGATAAATCATGTGTATGTAGAATCATGTATTATATAATTGAAGGTCTTGTAGTGCTTGGGTCTGCATTAAGTCTAATGTAACTACAGGCAAAGCACCCAGAAAAATCACTGTTGCCATATTACACCTGCCAGCCTCAGAAAAATGCAGATTGAGACTAGTAGCATACAGTACTGTTTTTGTCTATGATATATTTAGCGTTTCACCTGAAAGTAAGACTCCCTTTTTTTCCTTTCAGCTCAGTTAGGAAAGAATGTATGTTTTCCTTGGCTTTCTTCCCTGCTTGTTACAAGAGAGAAAAAATAGATTTGATTTTGAGGTGAAATTAATCAGAAATATCCATACAGTAATTTGTTAGTTGCACCCAGTCTGGGAAGAGCTAGCAAGTAAAATAAGAACAGCAAGTTTTAACACAAAGTGTGAATTCTGGTTTTCTTTGAGACAGATTTCTTCCTGTATCATTAGAAAAGTCTACTTTTAAAAGGTTGTGTGTGTGTGTGTGTGTCTGCGCGCGCCCGCATTTGGCATGGATAAATACATTCAACTACTGTCTGCATCAGGTCTTAATCATCCTAATTAGTATCTCTATCGGAGAATTGTGGGGAACGAACATTTGGAACAGTAAAGTAATCCAGCATAGTATCAAGCGAACGCCGCAATACTGAGCCAAAATGCACAGATCAGGCTTGTTGCCAGAGCTTGAATCATCCAGCCACTCTACCACTATATTAATAATTAGGTACTTTGTTTTGTGTTTCATTGACCTCTTTATTCTTTTAAAGGTATAATTTCTTTATTTGCAAAGCAATATACTGGCTAATTAGAAGTCTGAGACAATAGTAAGATTTTAATCTGTTTTTATTTTTCAGTCCCTTTTATTACTACTTTTTTTGCTCGTGGAATAAATAGCTATTTCCTTATAAGGTTAGGAATGATGTGGTGCACTTTAAAACTTAATTTCTTGTCCATTTAACAGAGGTTCCTCATGACCTGTTACATTATTCTCAGCAGTTGTGGGCTGAGATCCATGTAACTTGAAGGGAGGAGAACATAAAGAACAATGACACTTAGTGGGTAGACAACCTTGGGAGCTTTTTACTAAGATTTTTTGTAGGCTTTTAACGGTGCCAAGACTTTTTTTTTAGGACTTTTGCTATCACTTTATGTGTTTCCTCCTTCAAAATAATGGAAAAGCAAAATACCAATGTTTGGCTGTCGTTCTCTGGTTCTGTGATTTCTTGAATAGGCTTTGGGGATGGGATAATTTTTAACCTGCTACAATGATTGCTTAGAAACTAGGGATAGAATAAATCTGTTCATTTTCTAGATTTTGAAATTTGGATTTTGCTTTTCATGTTTAATGTACTCATCCCATTACAGAGGCAGATTGATCTGTACCTCCCCTCCAGCAGCTGTTTTGGATTTCTTTTGGGGTTTTGCCATTTTTATTCTGTTATGGAATATGGAGGAGTTGTCAGGCCAGAGATTTCTTTGGCAACTCTAGTTTTAAATACTGAATTTCCAAATAGTATATATATGGTTTTATTAAGAATTTTCATTATAATAGTAAAATCTAATAATTTTCTTTTACTGCTTTTTGCTATCTCTTTCAGCTTCTTTAAGCTTATAAATAATTTTTCTTTTGTTCAAAGCTTAAAATAAACTCATCAGTGAAGATATTTGAAACATCATACTGAAGGTCTTTAATAGCTTTAAAGTTAAGAAAGTTAAGAGAAAAAAAACAGACCCAGAAAACTATAGACCAATCAGTCTAACATCAATACCTGGGAAAATACTTGAAAAAATAATAAAAAAAAGATCTCTGAACAACTAGAAGCAAATATAACTAGTAGCCAGCACAGGTTTGTTAAAAATAGATCATACCAAATCAATCTTATTTTGTTCTTTTATAAAGTGACTAAATTAATAGACCAGCGAAATGCTAGAAAGAGGCAGAATAGACAACATCACCACCAGATGGATCTGTAGCTGGCTGACAAACCGTACTCAGCGAATAGTCCTCAATGGTACTACATCCACATGGAAAGTAGTAAGCAGTGGGGTACTACAAGGCTCCGTCTTAGGCCCAGTACTCTTCAATATCTTCATTAATGACTTAGACGAGGGAATAGAAGGGGAACTCATCAAATTTGCAGATGACACTAACCTGGCAGGAATAGCCAACACCCCAGAAGACAAACTCAGGATCCAAAAAGATCTTGGCAAACTTGAACAATGAGCCCTATCCAACAAAATGAACTTTAATGTGGAGAAAAGCAAAGTTTTACATTTAGGCAGGAAAAATCAAAGGTATAAGTACAGATTAGGTGAGACCTGGCTCAAAAACAGTAACTGTAAGAGAGGGACCTTGGAGTCCTAATGGATGATCACTTGACTATGACCCAGCGGTGTGCAGCAGCAGCCAAAAAAGCTAATACAGTTCTAATACAGAGGCATAGAATCAAGATCACACGGAGTATTAGTACCGCTTTATAAAACCCTAGTGAGACTACACCTGGAATACTGCAACCAGTTTTGGTCTCCATACTACAAAAAATATGTTGAGAGTTTGGAAAAAAATCAGAGAAGAACAACTAAGATGATTAAAGGCCTGAAGATTAAAGCATATAAAGAATGGCTGCAGGACTTGGGTTTGACTAGTCTAGAGAAAAGAAGAAATAGGGGTGACATGATAGCAGTATTCCAGCATTTGAGGGGCTGCCACAAAGAAGAGGGGGTCAAATTATTCTCCAAAGCACCAGAGGGCAGGACAAGAAACAGTTGTTGGAAACTGATCAAAGAGAGAAGCAACCTGGAATTAAGGAGAAACTTCCTAACAGTGAGGAGAATTAACCAGAGGAACAGCTTGCCTTCAGAAATCGTGGGCGCTCCATCACTGGAGGTTTTTAAGAAGAGACTAGACAGTCATTTGTCTGAAATGGTATAGGTTCTCCTGCTTGAGCAGGGGGCTGGACTAGAAGACCTCCATGGTCCCTTCCAGCTCGATTCCATTCTATTCTAATAGGAAATTTCCAAAAGTGATTAGAAAGTGAAGTTTGTGATCTTAGTGTCCTTGAAAAGGCTCCACTGCGATTGTGAGCAAGATGGCTAATCCTTTGTCTCCCAGTGCTCCAATTCATAGAAAATGTCTTACTGTGATTGGCTTGTGAGGAGCAATCATCCAGAGTTCATGTGATTGATCTCCCATCTTGTCCTTATAAGGAGAGATTTCAAAAAACTCATAGTTGTCTTCAGTTTGCCATTCCTCCCCATAGAGCAGAGGTAGGCAACCTCAGCTCTTTTATGACTCATGGACTTCAACTCCCAATAGCTGACTCAGGAATTCTGGGAGTTGAAGTCCATGAGTCATAAAAGAGCCGAGGTTGCCTACCCCTGCCCTAGAGTCTCTGAATTTCAAAATCGTATCTGAACGATCAAGTAAATTTTGAGTTAAATTCTAAATCAGAAATTCAAATACAGTTTAATTCTCAACTGCCTGATATTAGCCATATTTAATTAGTGCTTAAATTGGAAATTATTTTGCAAAATAATATTACAACCTTGCCTACAGTTTTTTTAAATAATAATGCTGCTTCATAAGCAGTTTTAGCACAAATAAGGGAATGACACCCATCCTTTCCACATTATGCAATTGTAAACTGGCCCACCAATGGCAGGATATTTTAATTGACTAGTCAATACAGTACTAACTTCTCTGCCATTCCTGCTGTTCCCTGCTTTGCTTTTGAACTGATTCTCGACCACCATGATCTTTGGAAGGAATGTATACAAAGAGTGGTTTTACATACTTGAGTGATAAACAAAATAATAGTTAAATATTAATGCCTAAACTCTTGCCTACTGTCCACATTAGTATCCACAAAATCTACGTGTATTAAGCAATGTACTCTGAATTTTCAGAAATGAATAAAAAGAAAGTAAAACTGAAATCTGCTATGCTCTATTAAATAAGCAAATAAATATATAGCTCATCTTATAGCCTAACAGCACATATATTCCAGGACTGTTATTGAATTTAATTAGCACCTATCTTCTAGATTTTCTTACTATAACAATATTAATGATTATGTGGGCTGATCTGTGGAAATGGTGATTCTGATTTGTTATGTAGGAGTAGGCTAAAATTTGGTTGATTTGTTCCTTTCCTATTCTGTGGTCCTACAATAAGCTTTTTCTAAGCTGTAAATAATATGCTTTTTAGTATATTAAAATGCTGCAAAATGTTTTCGAATGTAATGGATATTTTTTTATTTATGTGTGCCTTTTGAAACAAATGCAGATAATTTCTGAGGCTGTGCCTACCAGTTATTCTACTGCTCTTATATGATGGTGTTTCATGTGATGTGTCTGACAGTTGTTTTCTTCTGAGTTTTTAATGCTGATCTTCCTTCCTACAGGGACATTTGTATCAGCTTTCACAGTGCTGTGTGGAGCCCGGACTGATCTCCCTGACAGACACATTTGTTGTGTGTTCTGGTTGAACATTGCAGCAGCTCTGATTCAGATTCTTACAGCAATTGTGATGGTTGGCTGGATCATGAGTATATTTTGGGGGATGGACATGGTCATTCTTGCCAGTAAGTTGAGTACAATCATTTTTGTTTGTTATTCCAATAATTAAGAATTTAAAGTGAGCTTATGGGAAGGGAGATAGAAGTGGGCACTAATTAAATCAAATAGTTCTCTAACAGCTGCAAACTCTTTTTGTATGAGTTGATACCTTGATGGAATATGTTTGCAAAAACAAGCTAAAGAAAAAAAATTGCTTCCTTCTCTTTTTTCCTAATTTTTCTTTGAACAGAAACAACATTAGGATATAGAGAACAGCTTTTGTAATGGAGTGACCTCTAAAACATTTTCCTTCACATTCAACTGGTCTTATAAATGTACCGTACCTGTTTTCTATACTAGTCAATCAGTTGGCTCTGAGTAACCATAAATGATGCATACAGGCAATCAAGATTTATTTATTTTTTAAAAAATGTAATCAGTTTGGCCATCTCAATTACCAAAGAAATTCTAGGCAGTGTGCAGCAATGTAATAAACACAGAGTAAAACAAACCTAACAAAAAACAATGTACTAATAGAGAAACTCACATTAGCGAAACGTTAATATAATTATATGGCTAACAAATAAACATCATAAGTTGGGCCACAAAAGCAGCCTATCCCAGGGCCTGCTCAAAAAGCAAGGTCTTCAAGCCTTTCCTAAAGGCAACTGGGTCACAAGTAATGCTCTTTCAGAGGGCAATGGCAGACATAGAGAAGGGAAGTCTCTGGGGTCCGGTAAGATAACACTCCTTCATCTATGGGACCTGGAGCATGCTTAGTCTACAATATTTACTAAACAAGCAAACAACCAAACCATAGATAGAAAAATATATTCATGTAGGTAACTAGACCTCAAGTCATGAAGGTGCCTACTGTCATGTGGAATTGCAACTGGAAGCCAACTGGTAACCAGTGCAGCTTGTGAAATAGAGGTGACACATGGGTGCAATGGTCTGCAGCTACTCATGCTGCTTCATTCTAGACCAAATGCAGCTTCCAGATGCAACCCCAACTGGAGCATGTTGTAGTAGTACAAACAAACAAAAGTATCTAAAACTTGAAAGACTATTTGAGAAGGCCTCCCAAATCAGAAAAGGGCATAATTGGCTGAGCAAATGTATTTGTGCAGGTAGCCCTCTTGGCCATAGCTGCCACTAACCCCCAAATTCTGCCTGGGTTACTGCAGTGCAATTTAGAACTAATATTAGAAAATCTCTAGAACAGAAGGTCTTTGCATCTTCAACCATTCAGTGTTGCTAGGGTTGTGAAGAAAGCTCACCAAGGCTGAGAATGAAAACAAGGTATTTTAAAACATAACTAATGAAGAGCAGATGGTTGTTTCAGTATCAAGCTTATCTGGGGGAAAAAATGAGTGGTTAGTGCTTCGGTTTCATAATCTGGAAAAAAGGGTTCAATAATTCAGTGATCCTATCTTAATGAATTCATTCCTAAATGTAGGTAGGAATTTTGCTTATTCTGTTTCCAAGATTCTATATCCTAGCCTCTTATTTCCCAACAATAAGCCTAATTAAAGGCATTCCATGTGACTCTTGTTTCCCCTTCTGCTAAGGGCTGGACAGGTTGACCCCGATCCTGTTCCTCTGTATCCAGATCCAATGTCCTTGAGGCACATACCATACACGACGTTTTATCACTCTGTCATTTTCTCCATTCTCCTCTATGCTAGCTAAAATAATACCTTTTGGTAGCACATTTAATCCATTAATTCCTCATTTGGACTGCCATTTTAATACCTTTTTAGCGCTGTAATATTCTTTTGGAAAGATAGCACTTACAATTGTACTTAGGGTACCAAGTATGGTCATATTGTATTAATTTAAAACATTGTGATGTTGACAGTTTTATTCATGATATCGTCATTTTCGCTTTTGTGTTGAGTCAAGATTTTAATTCATCTGATCCCTACAAACCCAGGGTTATTTTCCTTCTCAGATTCCCTTAATGCATATCCAAGTTTATAAATGTGTAGCTTCTTAATAAATGCTTCATTTTCTAGAAGCAAATTTAAATTCTTGTTAGTTAGGGATTTGCAAAAGAAAAAAAGCTTCAGTTCTAAAATGCCATTCTTTAATAAACAGAGGGTAGCTAATCGCCATACTTATGTTTTTCCATTTGCTTTTTTTGAATAATTCCTTATAATTATGGCTTTGTTTTTCTCTTTTATGGTTCTTTCACTCCTTCTGAATGATCAACCAAGTTTCACAAGGTATGTTTTTTCTGATATTTTTCCTCACAATTTAATCAATTTAAAGATAAACATATTCCCTCAGGGAAAATGTTTTAAATGCTAAATTAAGCCTGCATTCTTCTATTGATTTAAACCACAGTGCAGTTGGTTTGTGTGGGGCTTAGGATATTGTGAACTAAGCCACCAATATTACTAAATCATCACTTATAGCTTTGTGTAAAGCCAAAGTAGTGTGATTTATTCAACAAATCATGATAAAGCAAAGCTTACCATAATGCACATGAACCCCATCTTTAAGAGTTTGACCTGAGATCACTGAGAACAATTCCATGATCCACATGTTTCAGTTTCTGAATCTCTGAACTATTTTTGCTTCTTCACGTTATGAAGCTTAAAACAAGCTTTAAAAAAATAATAATTGCACTGCAAGGGTTAGGAGCATACTCAGAAAAAGAATCTGCAGAAAAATTAGGTGGGCAACCATTTCATAAAATATCTGTGTGAGGAGTTATTTCTTGTATACCAAATGTTGCATTCAAATATGTCCATTCCTCCTCCCCACCCAAACTTAATGTTAATTTGCTTTCCAATCCAATTCCACACAAGAATAGATATATTCTGGGATCCTGCTATATCTGATATATATATATTATAATAGTGGCATTACTTGTAAATTAAACTGGAGTCCTTTTTTCTGTAATTTTCCCACATCTGGTTTGCAGGCACAAACAAAACCAATGACAAAAAAAAAGTCCTATTAAAATGTATTTACTTGAGGTGAGTAACAATTGAGGGCAATTCTGAAGGGAAGAATATGTGCCAAGCACAAACACAGTGTCCCTCTGAGCTTCTGTCCTGATTTCTCATCATGCAGACTAGAATGCAAAATATATGTCAGCTGTTATTTACATGATGTTCCTTGTATCACAGAAAAAAATATCCTTAAGCTGTGCTTAAGTTTAATCATGCATGTTTGAAACTTCATTTACATGTAAGAAACTTTGATTTTTGGAGAAATAATGCTTGCAACTTCTTGACTCTCAGCTATTTCTAGACTCCTAGTTATGTACCAGGATGGAGAGAGCAGCATATGGAAACACCTTTAGAATATGAATGAATACACTGTTGGCAGTGTAAATGGAAAGCTTTAATTTAATATATTATGCCATGGATGCAGAGCAGGGGTACTTTTTGAGTGCTCTTAACAATTAAAATTCTCTGAAAACTCAGATATGTATCCTGAATAAAATCAAGTAAACCTTGTACATAATTCTTTACTTATTTCTTTCACTTGGCCCAGGAAAGGCAATGACTATGTCTAAAGTTGCTGGAAATCCTTATCTTCTATTCAGGTAGTTTAATATCTACCTCCTCCCTTGCTTGTTTTTAATCAAATATTGTCTTTATGTTTGTATTTATACTTTGCACATCTAAGGTCTAAATAAATAATTTTCAATAAAATAAAATTAATGATAGGATTCCCCAGAGACTGACTTTGGTTGCTAATATTCATTTCTACACTCTTAAGCTCAATCACAGAAGAATATTCTCCTCCTCCTTCTCATTAGCTCTGAGCAGTAATCCAAAAGATTAAGATTTATCTTATTGATAAAAAACAGTGCAGATTGTTTAACCTTTCTTTTCCACAAGAACCTAAGATACTGTTGGATTCCAATGGAACCCAACAATAACATCCTTTCCATCTTCTTTCTTTCTTTTGTGTGTGTGTGTGGTTGAGTATCCAGCAGAGCGGAGGTGTAGATCAGCAGAGAGTGACCTTCACTGATCACTTGGACAGCTAACGCTGCTTATGGAGACTCCGACATGTGGATTTTTGAACTGGCACAGTCAACATGACAGGATGACAGGCAAGCCATTCCAAAAGTGGGAGAAAGCCACTGATTAGGTAGGGATACGGCTGAGGAGGAAGATAACATTTGAGCAAACATCACTGAAGAAGTTGCAGTTTTTTTCCATCTTATGGGACGAACTACATGGGAAATATTTCACTTCCTTCACTCCTTGAGGAAATGTCCTGATGTAAATATCAAGAAGCAGAGGAAATATTGATAGATAATGTGCAATATATCAAAGCAAACATTTGAAGGGAGATTCCCACCCCCCAAAGGCATTCCTTTGGTGCAGGAAAGTTCAGGTTGTGACTTACCTGCTTGCGTACGTACTTGTGGAATTTTTTTGGTGCTTGTTTAATAACTGTTTTCTGCAACCAATTTAAGATTCTGCTTACTGCTTTCGTAAATCCTGTCACTATTGCTTACCTGTTCATGCACCTTTTTTGCCACCTTTTACCTTCTGAATGTTGGAAAGAAGCTGTGAACTCTTTATCTAACAAGAAGCAAGAATTTGGCTGTTGCTAAATTTGATTATCCACCATTACTTTTACAGATGTTTTATTCTTAAGTGTGGGGATTGGGTTTTAAGAGATTATTATATGGAGACACATTTTATTATATACTATGGAAAATGAAAGAAGAAAGAAGTACCCTTACCTGCTCCCTCAAAGAAAACTGTGCCAATAAATGTTAACATATATTGGAAATGTGCATATAAATGATGGATAGTATTTGTAGCTGAGCTGCAGTAAAGGTGTGATATCTCTTTCCTAGTACATATGCCCACAGGTAAAACAAGTTAATACTTTTAAGATACATACAAAAATAAGGCTGACAATTTACTGAAGTTAACAGAAGCAAAACCCTGTTGTGGAATTTGTTGAGCAGAACTCCATTGTGTTGTTACTTATACATTCCAAGACCTCATAAGAACTTAATTATTTTTTACCAGCATCCATTCAGATTCTTGGTTATGACTATTGGTGTTTTTATCAATCGTGATGAGAAGAGTTTAATAGACAAATTCCAGTCCTTGTTCACCCTTGATGGCCTTGGTTCACTTGCTTTTTCAGCCATAATGTCATTAGTTTGTTTTGAAGTAAAAATAGGTGTATGTGTGTGAAAATCATTAATGCTGCCTGAATGGTAAAATAAACATATAATATTGTGAGTGAAACATGATGCTCTTTTCTGTTCAGAAAAATGTTTTCAGGAACTGGAAATCAACTACCATAAAGGAGGCTTGAAAGTTCTCTGAGTTCTGCTAAACTGTGACTTTTTTGCTCATATATTAACCAGTTAACAACATCTATTTTATTCTTCTACAGATAATCATGATTTTTTTAGTGTCAGATTTGAATTACTGCCGTTGTACTCAAAATAATCATTGCCTATCATTTTAAATGTATTATTGGTTTGCTACCCAACCTTGAGTTAATTAAAAGGCATAATGGAAGTATCCTGTCATAAATGAGAGAGCTAGCATATGCAGAGAATTAAATTAAAAATCCAGGAATCTGTAATTTTATCACTTAAAACACTGTAGGACCAATTCTGATACTGCAGCCCACCTTACACCAGGTTTGTGAAAACTCTAAGGTAGCCCTGAAAAGCTGTGTAATCTCCGTGCCTGTGACAAGAAAAAAGGTACTTTGGAGCTTATGGCTCTGCCTAGCCCTTGAAAGTGAGCTTTGCCACATAACAAGAACAAGTTAAATCTTCCTTGCAAATAAAATAACCATCTCTTTTATTGAGCTCAGCCTCTTTTCTTTCACCCAGTGAAGTCACTGGACACGAACCCAAATCTACTTCATAAGGAATAATCACAAATATCCCTTTTTCTTTATTTTACCTTTTATTGTTGCTTGTAAACAGAGAATCCTAGTTAATCTCTTGCAGTAAATCAAGGGAAAATTGTTTAACACCCTCAAGTATCACAGCATTGCCACAGATGGATTGACCAACCAGCCTCAATTTCTAGTCCTTAATGGAACTGCTTCTACATGGAGAGAAGTATGCAGTGAAGTACCTCATTACCCCAAGGTTCTCTCTTGAGTCCAGTACTCTTCAACATCTTTATAAACAATTTAGATAAGGGGATAAAAGAGGAACTCATCAAATTTGCAGATAACCCCAAGCTGGCAGGAATAGCCAACACTCCAAAAGATAGGCTAAAGATCCAGTAGGATCTCGACACACCTGAAAACTAGGCCCTATCAAACAAAATGAAATTCAATGCTGAGAAAAGTAAGGTGTTGCACTTAATCAAGAAAAAACAGGTATAGAATAGGTAGTACTTGGCTCAACAGCAATAACTGTGAGAGGGATACAGGAGTTCTGTTGGATAACCACTTAAATATGAGCCAGCAGTGTGCTGCAGTTTCCAAAAAAAACAACACAGTTCTAGGCTGCATTAACAGAGGGATAGAATCAAGTTCACATGAAGTGTAAATACTGCTTTATAGTGACTTGGTAGGACCACACTTGGAATATTGCCAGTTGGAAGCAGTTTTGTTCGCCACAATGTAAAAAAGATGTTGAGACTCTGGAAAGAGTGCAGACAAGAGCAACAAAGCTGATTAGGGGACTGAAGGCTAAAACATATGAAGAACTGTTGCAGGAATTGGGTATGTTTAGTCCAGGGGTGTCAAACTGCCGGCCCGCGGGCCGGTTTCATCATACCGAAGCCTTGCCTACCCTATTGCTGGCAATGCAAAAAGAGCCGTGATATGTCGCAACACATCACATGACATGGCGAGTTTGACACCCGTGGTCTAGTCCAATGATAAGAAAGACTAAGGGTGACATGATAGCAATCTTCCAATATCTAAGGAGTGTCACAAAGAAGAAAGGGTCAACCTATTCTCCAAAGCACCTGAAGGCAGGACAAGAAGAAATGGATGGAAGCTAATCAAGGAGAGATCCAACCTAGAAATAAGGAGAAATTTCCTGACAGTTAGAACAGGTAATCAGTGGAACGGCTTGCCTTCAGACGTGAAGGTTTTTAAGAAGCGATTAGACAGCCACTTATCTGAAATGGTATAGAATTTCCTGCTTGAGCAGGGGACTGGACTAGGAGATCCCTTCCAACTCAGTTATTCTGTTCTGTTCTGTTCTATTCCTCATGTATTATACATTCATTACTCTTCATGCTGTTTTTATTTTATTATAATTCTAGTAGTTGGGATTGTATCGTGGTGGGGCTTCAGTGAGGCATCCCTATGAAATAGCATTGCAGAAAAGCAGTACGCTATCCATGAAGTTTATTAGTAAGGAACCTATGGGGAACAAAATGGCTCTTAAGATCAATACTTTACTGCCAAAATTTAGATCTTTCCTGCCTTACATTTTACCTCCTATTGGGATTAATGAAGCTTTAAAACTTTTAACCAATCTGACTTTTGATTGACTAATATGCTAATTTAAAAGCAAGCCACTACCATAATTATATGCTTATTTTAAAGTAAAATTTCCTTCAAGGAGAACTCAATTCCTGGTGACTATATGGAGATATACATTTAGTTCCCTTGGCAACAGTACAGAGATAGTTTCCCATTAAATTCTGCCAGGATGTTTCTCATTTTTCCTACCCATCTGACAATCCTAGTTTTTCCTGGTAATCTCAAATTCTCAGATAATCCAACCCTGTTTAGCTTTTTAATATAAGACAAGGTCAGGTAGATGCTGCCACCTAGTTGAGGATATGCATATTCACTTTTTCTGTATTTGTATCATGTTGAATAGATTTGTCTATTCTTGAGAGGAAGCTCACTTTTAAAAACAAAGTTTATCTGAGCTGTAGAATTATTTGATAGATATTGATCTCTCTGTTTAAAAAAATATATGGGCAACCTATGACCTTCAGTTGTTGATGAACTAAACTCCCCAACCAGACCAGCTAGCAGTTGGGCACTCTTTCTTCAGAGTTTGACAAAGAAAATTCACTAAAAGTTCAGAAATATCCCCTCTTCTTGAGAATATTAAAATAGAAGTAGTCATATTATCAAAGACAATATTTCTGCACCCGTTCATACTGCTAAGATAGGATGATATCCTGTTGACTAATTATGTGCCATCAAGTTGGTATCAATTATGTACCATCAAGTTGGTATCAATTGGTATCAATTCTTACCAACCAGAAAGATAGACTTTTACCAAAATGTTCATCACCAATCTGAATCTTTGGAGTGCATAGCTCACGTGGTTAGGACACTAGATTGGAGATTAGCAACCCCACGTAGGAGACCTGAGTGCTATTGTGTGGTGCAGTGAGCTCCTATCATTTGCTCCAGCTCCTTGTCGGGACATGAAAGGAGCCCCCACATGCGTCCCCAGGGCAATAGTCATGTCATCTAATCCTTTCAAACCAGAAGCACCTTAAACGGTACCTTGGACAGAAACGGGACAGGACCTGGACCTTCAAGTCTTCCAACAGTGCACCCATTGCAGCTATAATAATTGTGTTGCTCCATCTTGCAGCATATTGCCTTCTTCTCTTTCCTTCCATCTCTCCCAACATCTTGCATAATGTACCCAGAATGTAATTTGAACTCAGTCATTCATGTCTCAACTGAAAACTGTGAACTGATTTATTCTGAGAGAATGTATATCCTATGAAGAAATTTTTTTCTAAGGTGTTTATTAAATACTTAGTTTTCTAGCATGAGTAGTGGTTCATAGTTTGGAAAGGCAATATGGCAAATAATGCTCTCCTTTGGGGTTAAACATAAAGCTTTATAAAATATAAGACAGCTTGTTTATAATGGTTAGAGAAATAATTTTTGTTCCCCCATGGCATATTTGATTTGAGAATCCCCACTGATGTTATGGGTCGGTAGCCAGTTCATATCTTGTAAAACTCAATAGCTCACTTTATTATTATATAGCTTTTTTGTTTTTTAATATATTGTCCCATATGAAAGAATAAATCATA